AGAGTAGCCTTGAGCAAACCATGTTTGCTAAGCCTCAGATTTATACCTGTACTGTAAAGATAATAAGTCTTCCCAGCGGGACAGTTATAAGGATAAAAGAGTGTTAGTTCCTGCCTATTTCCACCACCTGGCACCATCCTGACCTCTTTCCTAAGCTGGGAACCATTCCTGGAGACCCCAGGCCGAGACAGGTGAATTTTCCCATACATTGTCTAGCCATTAAATCTGGGATTATCTATCAGGGATGACCACTTTCTTCTTCTGTTTACAGGAAATTTCTAATTCATAATCACCTGGATCAAATTTGTTGCTCAACCAAGCATCTCCTATCTGACAGAAAGTTTGGAATAAATCATTAAGAAGCAGTTAAGTCTCCACATAGTAAAATCCTCCCACTCAGCTTAGATGCTTTGCTTTAATGATGCTTTGAGTTTGTTTTGTTTTGTTTTAATGTCTTATCGGTTGGAAATGATTTCTTCTTCCCTCCCTCTACATTCTTGTAATAACTACCTTTATTGAATGCTATTAATTGTTCCAAGATCACACAGATAATAATGTACTGAGTTGAACAGCATCTTCTCAAAACTCATATCCACTGGAACCTCAGAACTTAACCCTCTGAAAATGCAGTTATATGTCCCTTGACCACAGGGAGACTTTCTGAGAAAGGTATTGTTATGCAATTTCACCACTGTCCCAGCATCATTGATATTCACACAGGTACAGCCTTCAGCCATATGATTGTGTGTGTGTGTGTGTGTGTTTGTGTGTGTGTGTCCCTGTTGCTCATAGGGCTATAGTGAACATAAGGGTAAATCAAGCACAAGGGAGAGTAACACCATCAAGAGAACAAGCAGGAAATGTCCCAAGCTGCTGCAACATAATGTGAAACATTGTCTTCAGTAAACTTTTTGTTATATCTAGAAGGATGACAGTCTAAACTAACAATAAAAGTACATGGTACCAGAGACATGTAGCTCAACATATAAGAGCTGTTCCTACCACCCAGATCAGTTGGCTCCTAACTGCTTATAACTCTAGCTCCAGGAGATCTAACACTCTCTTCTGGCCTCTGCAGGCATCACATACACAGACACACATACCTGTATGTAAAAAATAAAAATCTTTTTAAAAAGAAAAAGAAAACATTTTAAAATTATGGCATGATAAGCACATAAACCAGTAACAAAGTCATGTATTTTCATTACCAAGTACTGTATACCATATGAAATAGGGTGTGCTTGACTTTGAAAGACTAGCAACACATGTAAACACGTGAGTAATGAATTGCTCCATGGTGTTATGACAGCTACAATATTGCTAGCTGCATACATTTTTCAGTTCCATTATAATATTTTGGGACCACTGCATATATGATCTGTTGTTGATTGGAATGTTCTTGTGTGGTTTCTAATGTATTGTCTTTACAGATGAATCAAGTTAAGATGAGGTCATTTAGAGTGAGTCCCAAGTTCAGTGACCGGTGTTCTTAGAAGAACAGTTGACTACAGAAACATAGGAAGCCCAGGTGTGGTGGCACACACCTGCAATTCCAGCACCCATGAGGCTGAAGCAGAAAGATGGAGAGTTGGGGGCTAGCCTGGGTTACTAGACAATTTCTCAAATAAAACAAGACAAATAAACAAACAAAAAACACACAAAAGGAAGCACCATGAAGAAGTGTATGTGAAGAGGAGGGCCGAAATTAAAGTTGTGGTTCTAGGACTACGTAATGCCAGGGATTACCAGCAACCAGAAGCAAGGACAAGGCAAGGCAAAGTTCCTCCCTAAAACCTTCAGAGGTGGCATGGCCCTGTTGATTGTGGGCTTCTAGCCTTCAGAGCTGTGAGAAAATAAATTTTTGTTCTTCCAAGCCACCTAGTTTGTGGGAATGTATCCTCATAGTCCAAGGAAAGAAATATGGCAGTAGAGGTGTGTGGGATTCCAAAGCCGTATGACCACTGCCTGGGAGCATCTCAACTATTCACAGTATAGTATCAAGTATCTCCTATCTCATGTTAGGAAGCAGATGGTACATCTATAAGTTGAGGTGAAGATGGAGGTTTGTGTTAGCAGATGGGGAAAAGGTAAACTTGTTGCAAGGTTAAGAATTACCAGGCTTGTTTCTGGAAAATATGCTCAACCTCCTTTATAGTCTGTCCTTGGGATTTAGCAGAGAAGTGGAAATGAGTTTGCTAATGGAGGAAACAGAATGCATTAAAACTAGAGGACTGAGAACTACAGGCCATGATCAGGCATAAGGCTGAGGCAGGTGGATGGCTTGTACTCAGTGTAACACCCAAGCAACTCCCTGAGCATCATAGACCTGCTTACAAAGAAAGAAAAAAGAAAAAATGTTTGACTCTACCCCTAGTTGAACCCACTACCTCCCGGGGTCTGGATTAAGCAGTAGCTGCCCACCTAGTCTCCCTTCTTCCACCTTCCTGCCCTTTAGCACAACAGTGAAAGTGATCCTTTTCGAACTATAAATCGGATCCTGTCACTCCTCTGCTCAGCCACCTCCAGCGGCTTCCGGTCTGACTCAAAGCAAGCCCGTGTGACTCAGAACAAAGTCAGAATAAACTCTGACCATGGCACACAAGAGTTCATCGCCTTCCAGGTCACACTGGAGCCTCCTCCTTGGCAGTGCTCTCTGCTCCCTAATGCTTTCTCCATTGTTCCACTTGGATCCTCCCTCCTTGGATCATTCCTGCAGGTGGGACTTGAACCCATTCTCTCAGTGAGGTTTTCTACCTCTCCACACAGCTTCTTCCTATTTCCCTGCTTTATTTTTCCTCTTTTTTAAAACCAATTGATTTATTTTTATTTTATGTGTATGGAATCTTTTGCCTGCAGGGATGTGAGTACACCACGTGTGTGCAATGCCTGAAGAGGCCAAAAGAGGGTGTCAGAGCTCCTGGAACTGGAGTTACTGGTGGTTGTTAGCCACCATGTGGATGCTGGGAACAGAACCCTGGTTCTCTGTAAGAGCAGCCTGTGGTCTTAATCTCTGTGCTATCTCTCAAGCCCTTTATTTTTCCTCTTAGTATTTATGAACTTGTAATATATTAAATAACTAAGACATAAAATTTTTTCCACCCCACATGCTACAAATAAATTTTATGAGAAAAAATATTTTATTTTTGTTTTTCTGTTTGTTTGAGACAGGGTCTTGCGATGTTATCATAGGTTAGTCTGGTAACTTGCTAGGTAGCACAGACTGGCTTTGAACTTAGGCAATCTTCCTGCCTCAGTCTCCCAAGTGCCAACACCTATGTCCAACATCTTGACTTTGAGACAGGATGTTTTCATCTACAAAGTTCATGCTCAAGAATGACACATTCAAGTTACAAAAAAAAAAATCACAAAAAAACTCTCATAATCTTTCAAGTATGTATACAATTTTGTGTTGGACTGTATTCGGAGCTATCCTGAGCAGGAAGTGTCACACTCAGATCAAGGAAAGGGTTTTTCAGTTTGCATTGTTCACTATGCTTCCCCAGCACCTGGAAGTGTCTGGCACATAGCTGACATTCAACAAACGCTTGTTACATGAAAGAACAAATGATTAAGTAAATTAGGCTATACCAGGATGATTAAGTCATCAGAAAAAGACTATCACAACTCAGAAGAAGGCATGTGACATAATGTAAAAAACAAGATTGCTGCACCCTGATCAAAACTACATGGGTGTGGCTTTAAATCTTTTCTAGTTCTTTTGCTTTTTTTTTCTAATAAGAGCTGTCACTTGTTCTTTACTTTTTTTTTTTACTTATTATTTTATATCTTGAGTGTTTTGCCTGCATGCATGTAAGTGCACTCATGTTGTGCAATGCCTGCGGATATCAGAATAGGGTGTTTGATCCCCTGGAACTGGAGTTGTAGAAGATTGTTAGCCACCCTGTGGGTGCTGGAATTCGAACCTGGGTCCTCTGCAAGAGCAGAGAGTGCTCTTAACTGCTGAGCCATCTCCCTAGGGTTCCCTTGGTCTTCTTGTCATTTTAAACTATACTTTGTAGCTCAAGTGCTGTCTAGGAGACTTACCATATTGCCGATATAATCATTTAGAGCTCAGGATCCAAAAAGAGCTTTGCAGCCACTATCTCGTGTTTTGTACACATTGCTGCCGTTAGACTACCAGATGGCAAAACCCATCAGTCTCCTCCAATAAAATAAAGAATGCCCACAGTCCAAAATACGTAGAACACTTAGTGAGGAATGATAAAAGATAACAATAAAAAACAACACGCAACTGTGAGTCAAGCACCTTAAGAACTTTAAATATACTTCTAGCAGCCCCGGAAGCTTATTAACCCTATCTCTCTACGCGGATTAATAAATGAGGGGGAAAATACGATTATAATGACAGTGACCAAAAGTACCCAAAGATTACTTTAGGAGTCTAAGTGGTGGGATCGCAGGTGATCGTAGGTGATTTCTTGTTTCCTAGGGTTTTTTTTTTTTGTTTTTTGTTTTGGGTCGTGTGTGTGTGTGTGTGTGTGTTTTCGGATCTCATCGTCCTGCTTCTGATCCTCTCTCCCTAGTGCTAGGACGCAGGTGCCGGACCATGCCCTCCAACATTTCAATTTGTAGTTAAACTGTGCGTGCATGTGTTTTGTACACCTGTACGTGTTTGTGTACGACCGAGTAATTTTAAAACCTGGACCAACTACAACAACAGGAAACTGCAGGGAAAGGGAGAAGAGCCCACCCCAAAGCCCGGGTAGACCCAGCCCACACTCCACCCTAGTGAGCAGGCTGCGAGGGCGGGGAGAGCCCGCTAGGCGAAGCGGCCACCCGCTCCGCCCACAGACACGAATCCTTCTCGGGAGGCCAATCCGCAGCCTCATGCAAAGGTCCGTAGGGCGTGGCTACTGGGGCACCTCCTGTGGGCGGAACTACTCCGGAGCGCCGGCAGGGGGCGGGGTGAGGACGGGAGTCCCGCGGGCTGGCAGTGATTGGCTGACGCAGGGACGGGGCGGGACCTGCTGGTAGACCCGTCTCACCGAGGGGCGGTGCCTGCGCCTGTGCGTCAGGCTGAGGGAAGCCACTGCCCGCTGGGCGCCGCGGGCCTCAGAGGAGGAGCCGGAAGTAGGGCGTTTTGCTCCGCAGCCGTCCGCCCTGCTTCCCGGGGCCGGCGGTGTCCCACTGGGTCTGTTCTGGTCCCCGAAGTCGCCGCCTGTTCCGGGAGCCGGGAGCCCCGAGCCTGGGCTGGGCGGCGTGAACCCGAAAGCAGCGCCAACCCGGCCTGGGCCATGGAGCCCACCGTGCCGTCCCTGACGGAGGAGGACCTGACTGAAGTCAAGAAGGACGTGAGTAGCTCGGCCGGGCGCCGCGGGCCGGGCGGGGGCGGAGGAAAGCGGAAACCCGGATCGCAGTCGCGAGAAACTTCGAATCCAAAGAGCGGAAGGTCCAGGCACTGCAGGATCTGGGCGAGCCCGCATCCGGGGGCCTCGGTGGATCCTGCGGACTTCGGTGGGTCTCGGGGGCCTCGGTGGGTCCAGGGTTGAGCTGTTCCGCGCCGGTCTTGAGTGCTTCTTGCCAGTCCCCTCTTGATCCCCCACGCCACGCCCTGGGAACTGCGTCGACCGGGAGTCTGGCTGCCCAGGATGCCCTGGAGCAGAAACTGGACCACGTAGAGCACAGGGGTGGAACTTGTGTCCAGGGGGTGGGAAAGCTTGCCAGCTGAACGCTCAGCCTGGAATTCCCCTAGTAAGCAAACGCCCACATATTTAAATAGAAGTGGGTGTGAGGACATCTGACTGAGACTTCATTTACAGGTAAACGTTGAAAATATCTAATGGCTTAAGTTCTTAAACTTCTGCTTGGATCACGGAGGACTTGCACGCACCTGAATATTTATGAAAGTTGACTTTGTTGAGCTATGACTTGCTTCTTTTTTCTTTGTGTTTAGTTACTTGTTTGGCTGGATAAAGCTTCGATGAGCACTACTTTTGCATACTTCACATGAATTCAGATTGAAAACAGAACCTCAGCATGAAGTCTTAGTTCTGCAGTGCTTTAACAAAATCATCTTTGCAAACTTGACAGCAGGTTGTTGCTGATGGGCTTCAGATCGGTTTTTCTACCCCTTGTTAGGTATATTACACTGTAACCATAATTACAATTAGTGTGACTCACTACTAGAAGGAAATGCTGCCAGGGACTTGTGCTTCCGTTCCTCAGTAGAGTTTGGAGAGTGCTTTACTTTATGGAAAGTACCCATTAGCTGTAAGAATAGAGAAAATCGGGGCTGGAGAGATGCTCAGTGGTTAGAGCACTGGCTGCTTTTGCAGAGGACCCAGGTTCAGTGTCTAGCACCCACATGGTACTAAACAACCACACCTAACTCCCATTTAGGGGAATCAGACACCCTCTTCTGACCTCCCTATTGCAGGAAACTGGTGCATTTACATATATATAGGCAATACATAAATACACATAAAATAAAAATAAAACATTTTTTAAGAGGCTGGAGAGATGTCTCAGAGGTTACGCTGACTGCTCGTATAGAGGACCCAGGATCAATTCCCAGCAGTCATATGGCAGCTAACAACCATCTGTAACTCCAGTTCCAGGGGATCCAACACCATCTTCTGAACTCTGAGGGCATTGCATGGCACAGGTGCACTTTACACATATGCAGGCAATACAGACATACAAGATTTTTTTTTAAAGAATACAGAAAATCAGGCCATGCTTTACATTCTAGTTAAGACTAGGATGTTGATATCTACAATGGAATAAATAAGTGCTGTCGTATTTAAGAGGCCATCCCTTATTTAAGCAGCCCCATGAACTTCAAGACATGGGCTGCTGTGCTCCAGATTCTGTTTCACAGTTTTTGTCTTCCTACAGTCATTACAATAACCTCTAAGGAAGAGAATTGCTGTTCATTTTGTAGCTGATAAAACATGACCTGAGAGATTACAAGCAGGAGAAAAGGAGACCTGTGTTTGGGTACAGAGTGAAGAGCAGAATCCAGAGCTTTGTTACTTCTCTCGGTTCATTGATGTTATCCATTCTGCCAGTTCCAGTTTACACCTGTGTTAAATTCATGGCCTTGAGGAAACTGGAAGAGCTTCATGATGTCTATAAGAAATCCTTTTTTCTTATATACTTATCCTATTTTCACAATGGCTTATAACAAGTTTAGCAATTCTTCCACACCTTTGAACTTCCTTCTCTCTCAACTCCAGACTTTTATTTCCAAATACAGACTAGAAATCAAGTTTTAGTATCTTGCAGATTGTTCTCAGGTTACCAAAATTAAACTTTTTGTTCCCCTTTTCCGTAGCTGCTCGGTATTCCTTCAGTGTTACCTATCTTAGTGAATGGTAGGAAGTTGTCCACATGAGCACCTGTTGGTTTCAGGTTTTGCTTTCTGTGGTTTCAGTTATCTGTGATCAGCCATGGTCCAAAAATACTTCATGGGAAATCTATAATGTATAAGGCTCAAATTAAGTATTATTCTGAGTAGCATGATGAAATCTTGTACCATCCCACTGCACCTGGCCAGGGACATGAATCATACTTTTGTCCAGGACATCACACTATATGTTACCTGCCCCCTTAGTCACTTAGTAGCTGTCTTATTTATTAGATTAGTTACTGATGCCATGTTGGTACTGTTTGAGGTTTCCGGCATCCACTGAGAGTTTTGTTATGTGTCCTCTTTGTGTAAGTATGGGAACACTGTTCTAGCACTGATCCTGCTGGGAGCACTATGTTTTCACTGTTTCCTCCTTCCCTTCTTCATCTAATTATTTAATACATCTTTTCTGGTTGAATTTGGTTAATTTAACAAATATAGCTTACATGGTATTGCAGAGCTGATCATGTAGTTGGTTCTAACAAAACTTAAAAACTAAGACACAATTCTGATTTTAAAATCCCACCGTTTCTTGAACAGTAGGAGATAGCAATGAACACTACTTGAGACTCTGAAATGCAGGGTGTGTATTAAATAGGGTGTTCTGGTCTCACCTGCTTCAAATAGGTCATTAGAGTGGGAAAATAATACATAGACAGTTATACATTTGGAAGTGCTGGGGGAAACAGACACCAAGACAGTGATGTTTGGAAGCATGCAGTGAAGACCACCGATCAAGACCACTCCATGGGGGACAAACCGCTGGACCCCTCCTGGGATCACAGAGAGCAGCTGCCAGCAGGGGAAGTCAGACATCTTTGATAGGCAGTTAGATGCTTGGGTAACTTTCCATGACATAGGCTGGGCAGTTTAGTTTCAGGATTGGTTGACTCCTGATAAGCAGAGGGATTAACCTGAGCTAAGCTCAGACCTGCTATTTTAGAATATTGGGAGCTGCACTGCCATTTTGGGAGTCTGCCAAGAACCTAACATTCCAGCCTTTTGTTGATGATAAGGGGCAATAATGGTCTTTCTTTACTTCTGCTGGATAGTGACATCTGCAAAGAGGGGTGGTCTCAAGAGGCTGGAACATCAGTCTGAAGTGTGGGATTAGGCAGGCAGGTGGGCAGTGGTAGGAGACCTGAGGGAATTCAGTTAAGAGCATCTGGTTCACTGACTGTTGGGTCATCTCATTGATTCTGTCCCAAAAAAATTTAAAAGGTGTGGAATAATCATGAGAAGGGTGGATATCAATGGGCAGAGGAGGGGAAATAGAAGTAAAGGTAAGAGTAGTTAGGCACAAATTCTAGGCAGGGAACCAAGAGAAGTCAGAACAGCATAAATTTTAAATGTTCAAATCAGAGTTTCTTGATGAGGGCTTCCAAAAGCATTCATCTGTTGGGTTTCTCCTCTTTTATTTTTTTGGCTGCCATAACTGGACTCAGGATTTACTTTTCAGGTACTTTGATAGTTGTTGGAGTAGCTAGATTCACAGTGTGAGTTCCCTCCCAAATGGCCTAGTCTAGACAAGGAGAGAGAAGAAATTTAGCCATCATTTAATTTTTAGATAAGAACAGTAGTGGGTTTTTCCTTTTGGCTGCATGTAGGCACTGCAGAGTTGATTAGACCAGGATTTGAAGTCTTGCACCTGAGCAGCATTTTCTTATTAAGAACAAAATCATTAGTGAGAAATTGTCTAAATAACATCTTATATGAACATAAGCCTAATATCTGGGAAGTGTAATCCATTGGACTCTTAAAAGAAATATATCAATCATTTAAATCTTTGGTTATACCTTCCTGTTGGGTGTTTAAGACCAGTTGGCCCAAATAAGGCAATTTATTTTTACTCTAAAATCAGTTGAGGATCTGTTCCTCAGGGTCACATGGGCTTGGGAGGAGCCTCTGGTTCCTTAGGCCTTTCGTTTACCAGTTCCATCTATGTGAGGATTAAGTCAAAGTTCCTGCCTGACCATGGCTTTGCTTGGAAGCTCTATGTTGATCCTGCTCTTTTTAGACTGGACATTGGTTTGAGTCCTTCTACTGGGGTCTCAATGGCCTCACTGAATAGGAGGACGAGTGACTCATTATAGTTACAAGACATTGTGAGAGATAGTCCCCCCTAGGACTAGTCAACCTTGAGGGCAAGGAACAAAAAATTGTCCCTTTAAGTCCCTCTGTCCAGATTATTATGGGCCTAAAAGTAAGGCTGTTAAACATCCAAGAGGGTTAGATTAGTTACACCAGTCTGGTACTTTTAATTACCATGTAATATGTACACAAAGCTTGAGCAGAAACCATATATTCTTAAACCTTAACTAGATATATTTTGCTACTTAAGTTTATAGGAATTAAATATTTAACTGAAGTTTGACCTTAGGAAATTTAAGACTACTTTAGTAGATCTAGGTATACAGAGGGCTATCCAGATAATAGGAAGAGTGGGCCTAAGTCAGGAAAAAGAGATTGAACATCACAGGTTAATAAGTATGCATAGCCCAGGAAAGGAACTTAAAACAACTTTCTTAGGGCTGTCTCAAATGAAATCTGTTCTACTACAAACAGAAGCAGTCTCCTTTCTTTCCCCCATACCCTGATTTACAGTTTTTTAGAAGGAAGAGGGTGGGTCATATCACATACCTATAAACAAGAAATAAGATGGTCAAGATTCAGTTTCTTTCTGTATTGTATACATCTGGTTCAAGGAGGTAAAGCCTAGTTCTTCTTGAGCCAAATTATCTTGTTACAGGCAAAGGAAAACACCAAAGGTAACACTTGCATAACATAGAGAAACATAAAGGACATTTTCCAGTAGCGCAAATAACCCTGATGCTGTCTGCATCCAAATTCCAAGCCCCTCAGACTGTTATCTTTTAAAGAACCATGGTAGAGGAAACCACCTCCCCGCCCCCATCCCGCCCCAAAACCTGAGAAAAGTCAAGGAAAGAAATGGCCACATGGTGGGGAGAAGAAAGCTTTAAAGAAAAGAAGCACAAGATGCTAGGGGAGCCCAAAGCGTTAAGAAAGCATGTATAGAAAATGGGTATGAAAAAGAAAAGGAGAGAAATTACACATCTCTGAAGAATTCAGAAAAGCGGACAAACTTACAGAGACCTACATGTCTGTGGCAGGGCCCAGAAGCAGAGCAAGGGTTGGGGGAGGGTGGATTATTTTGCCTGTGTGGTGGCAGAAGTTGTAGAATTTGGGACCGATTACCAAGTTTATATTGGTGCCAAGCTGTGTTACAATAAAAAATAAGTCAATGAAGCTTAATGAAATCCCTGAGTCCTAAGGGAGAGAGGGATTTAAGAAGACAGGCAAGAGGGGGTAGCAGAGTCCAGTTTAAAGTAAGAGGAACTGTGACTAGTTAGAGGGAGGAAGAGAGACAGCCTTGAAAAAAAGGTTGGAAGAAAAGGAGACCTGAAATTAGATTGAAAATAACAGTATCAGCCAGGGATCAGAGACCATCCTCAGCAACGTAAGGGGAAAGAGACACACTGGAAGAGGACAGAGAAAGAGAGAAAGATGGAAGACAGGAGTGCTATGCCATCAGAGCTTCTGAGCCACCTTAAGTCGTCGTAGACCAGTGAGAGTTTGTAGCAGAGAACCTTCAAGCCTAGGGCAAGGAAAGGAGAAGGGAGGGGTTGTATGGGACCCTGTGGGGGAAGTTCTGGAGCTTCCAAGTCCCCTAAGTCATTCAGAGCATGAAACAGAATAGAATTTGACAGGGACCTAAGACAATGAAGACCTTTGTGACTTCAGAATATTGAAGGAAAGCAGGGGTCACTAGGTGAGATTAGGAAAGTGGCCAGAATCAGTTCATGAAGGACTTCGCTTTGCTCCTAGTAGGGGCTTGCTGAGGAATTACAGATTTTTCTTTTGAGTTTTTAATTATGTATTTATTTTTATGTGTATTGAGGGTTTTGCCTGCATGTATGTAAGTGTACCACATGCCTGAAAACTTGCAGAGACCAGAAGAGGGTGTCAAATCACCTGGAACTGGTGTTATGGATGGTTGTTAGCCACCACATGGGTGCTAGGAACCGAACCTAGGCCCTCTGGAAGACCAGTCAGTACTCTTAACCACTGAGCCATCTCTCCAGCCCCTTGTTTGGTTGGTTTTTAAAGATCCAGCTGCCTCTGTATGCCTCAAGAGAGTGAAAGGGAAAAAGCAGGGAAAAGACTCTATCTATATAGTAATGCAAGGTGATGGTGATGTGGAGCAGGGTGAGGGCAGTGGAAATGGATAAAGCAGAATTCCAGATGCATCTTTTTTTAAGGTTTCTAGTTTTAAAGCTGAAAGTTAAGGAAAAGTAGAATCCCATTAATAAGTAGAAATATCAAATCAGTTAAATCTACCAAGTCTGAAGATCAGAAAAGAAAGCTGAGCTAGTCCCGTAGTCCCCAGCATTCAGGAGCTGAGACAGGAGGATCACAACTTTGAGGCCAGACTGGGCTACATAGCAAGGTGCTGAAGAGAGAGATGGGAGTAGGGAGTGGGGAGAAAAGTTCCATAGAGATCAAAGGAAAATCTGGATAGTCATATTATGTGACAAGGAGAAAGTAGAGGAGGGAGTGGTCAGCTGTGTCCATGCTGCTGAGAAGTCAAGTAGGACGAAGGTGAAAAGTGCCTGATTTGCCAGTAAGGAGGTTATTGGTGACTTTGGGAAGAAGAGCAGACAGAATGGAAATGTCTGGGGATGAAGTGGGAGGTGAGATGAAAGAAGTGGAGATCTGGTGTACAGAATGATGAAGTGTTACTCACAGGGTGCTTCAAGAAGAGGGATTGTCTAGCTCATTAAGGTAAGGCTTTTCAAAGATGACCAATGGCTGATCTTAAAGGATGAATGGGAGCTGAGAGTTTGAGAAGAGGAAAGTAAGACAAAGGTAGCAGCATGACCATAGAGCAACAGTCAGCAATCATAGGTGGAGCATAAATTCTAGGGTAGAGCAGTGATAATTAAACTGGAGAGGTGGGCCAGAACCTTAGTATCAAGACTCTTGTCATAATCAAAGTCATTAGTCTATGTATCAGACTGTGCTGAGCCTTCATATACACTATCCCATTTAGTCTTACAAATGAGTAGTTTTTTATCATTATTTTATCAGTATGGGTCCTGAAGTTGCAGTGGTGAAGTAATTTGTTCCATTTCTCACAGAAATGTGTCACAGATTCAGAATTTGAACAGAAGTTGATCTAATTCCAGAATCATGCTCTTAACTTCTGAACTATTCTGCCAGAGTTAAGAACACACCCTTAGGTCATAGGCAACACACAGTGTTAGTATAATTTATGTAACACCGGATTACCATTTTCTCTTGAAAAATTAGAAGACATAATAAATGTATAAAAGAGATTTGAGAAAGTGGAAGGAGGTAGGAAATGGAGTTTGTTTTCTGTTATCATTCCCATGTAGACTATAAGGACCAGAGCTAGGGCAGTGCCAGCAATAGAGCTGAGGTGGTGATTGACAGGACTTGGTGGGTGATGGATCGGATGTGGCAAGAGTAAAGAGAGGAAGAATTGAGGATGAGTTGCAGGTTTGTAGCATGGCTGAATATATGATGGTAACTGGGATTATAGTAAATGCAGATGTTGAGAACAACAGGAAAATGATGGGGACGATAAACTTGGTTTTGGACATGATGAATTTGAAGTCCTTGGATAGCAAAGTGGAAGATGTCTTGATCACAGACATAAATTTGTGAATCATCAGCATATGCAGTAAAGATGGCAGTAGACAGGGTTTTTCAGATTTATCTTTTAATCTATGCTCATAGCTTAAATTCAGTGCATTCAGAATATCTTATGGAAGGTCATTTCTGCAAATTTCGAATTGTTTTCTTTGACCCCTATTTTGGCTCCCGTTAGTCCTCTCTAAAATTTTTCTTACTGACTCTTATTTATATATTTATTTAACCTGAATTTCTATTGATTAAGCCCTCTTAATCTAGGCTTTTCTGTCATCTTTTTCCTAATTTATTTTTTCTAACACTATTTGTCTCCCTATGTATCCATCCTTCTGCCTTCCACCAAGAATGACTCAGTAAGTTATGGTTTCCCTAACTGACCTCAAAGCAGATACATACCGGCCCTACCAAGGATTTGTTTTTTGTTTGTTTTTAATGATTGCACTTTAAAGTGATGGGATAATTAGTTACAAGCATAAGAAAGTTGTGAATTGTGAAACCTCCCACTAAGTTATCCTTCCTGGTCCAAAATTCTGAAATTCTTTACTAGATGCTACTAAAATGTAGAATCTTTGTTCTTATCTTTACCCCTGAACCAGATGGCCCTCTGCAGACTTCCTGTTTCTAAAGACCTAGGTCCCTCCTCACAACAGACCAGTCTTGTTTTCAGGTGTCAGAAAGGAGCAGGGCAGAGCTATGAGGGGTGCCTGGGATCTGCTTATGTCTGTTTGGACTTCCTCTTACTTAAACATGCCTTCTCAAGGGCCTGAGCCTCCTGTTTTCAGGACAGTGTGCTCACCAGTGAAAGTTCCTAACTAATAATGCCCTGTGATTTTTCTGAGTGTTAAAAAAATAACATTGAAGCATATTTTATTTTATGTCTCTTAGGCATTAGAAAATTTGCGTGTTTACCTATGTGAAAAAATCATAGCTGAGAGACATTTTGATCATCTACGTGCAAAAAAAATACTCAGCAGAGAAGATACTGAAGAAATTTCTTGCCGAACTTCAAGTAGAAAAAGGGCTGGAAAATTGTTAGACTACTTGCAAGAAAACCCCAAAGGACTAGACACCCTTGTTGAATCTATTCGACGGGAAAAAACACAGAACTTCCTCATACAGAAGATAACAGATGAAGTGCTAAAACTCAGAAATATAAAGCTAGAACATCTCAAAGGTAAGCTATCTTGGATATCGGACAGTTGATTATTTTACTTTTATGTGTATAAGTGTTTTGCCTGCATGCGTGTCAGTGCACCATGTGTGCAATGCCCAGAGAGGCCAGAGAGGATGTTACATGGCATTGGGTTGTTACCTGCCATATGGGTGCTGGGAACTGAACTGGGGTCCTCTGGAAGAACAGCAAATTCTCTTAACCACTGAGCCATCTCTCCACCTCCCCAAAGGATGATTAATTTAACAGTGTTTTTTTTTAATCTTTATTTTATGTAAATGAGTGTTATGCCTTTATGTGTGTAAGTGCACCCATGACATACAGTGCCCACAGAGGACAGAAGAGGGTATCAGATCCCCTGGAACTGGAGTTAGTTATGGACAGTTGTTAGCTGCCATGTGGTACTGGGATTCAAGCCTGGGTCTTCTTCAAGAACCAGCCAGTGCTCAACCACTGAGCCATCTCTCCAGCCCTTAACAGTGCTTTTAAAACTGTAAAAGCAGGGGGCTGGAGAGATGGCTCAACGGTTAAGAGCACTGACTGCTCTTGCAGAGGACCCGGGTTCGATTCCCAGCACCCACATGGCAGCTACGAACCATCCTTAACTCCAGTTCCAGGGGAATCTGAAGCCCTCTTCTGACCTCCGAGGCCTCCAAGGCCTTGCACGACACAGGTGCACTCACATACATGCAGGTAATACACTCATACACATAATATAAAAATAATAAAGAAAATTTGAAAAAAAAAAACAAAACTGTAAAAGCAATAAGGCATAGTGGTGTACACCTTTAATCCCAGCACTCAGGAGGCAGAGGCAGGTTGGATCTCTGTCATATCAAGGCCAGCTGGGGGCTACAGGGAGACCCTGTCTCAAAAAGACCAAAAAAAAAAGAGGGAAGGAAGCTGAAAAAAATGACCATTTTTCTTAACAAAAACTTAAGTGTCAGAATTATATTCAGTTTGCTTTTTTTAAACCAGATATATCATATTACAAAAGCGGCTGAAGAGATGGCTCAGCGGTTAAGAACACTGGCTGTTCTTGCAGAAGACCCGGGTTCGAATCCCAGCTACCACATGGCAGCTAACAACTGTCTGTAACTCCAGTTCCAGGGGATCCGACAGCCTCTTCTGTCCTGCAGGGGCATTGCATGACACAGGTGCACTTACAGCAGGCATAACACTCATACACATAAAATAAATAAAATATTTTTAAAAAGTGATATAAAGTATATCACTCAGTTTCCTATATTTGTATTCATTTAACAATATTTATAGAAGTTTATTTGTAAAGTATAATATAAACTTAACCTATTAAAAAATAAGCTCTGAAAGCACCATATATTATATTTTAAGAACAAGACATAGAAACTGTGTGGCTCATGCATATATTCCCAGACTTAAGAAGCTGAGACAGGATTGCCACAAGTTCAAGATCAACCTGAGTTCCAGATCAGCCTGGTCTATAGGGTCAGAACCAACTTCAGACAACAAAAGAATATAGATAAAGGATTTTAATTAACTTCGACTATGCTTTTCTGTTTTCTCCCACCTGTTGATCATCAGCAGTAGTTGGCATGTACTTATGGAATCATGTATAAGATATGGAAGTCTAAACCCCAGAATCATACTCAGCCTATAAGAGGCATGGGAATTGAGACTAAACAGAGCAGATTTCCTCTCCCATTTCACCCTCACCCAGAGCACACTGATGGGAATCCTGTGGAGAACTGCCTGCACAATTCAAACCCCAGCCTGCTGCTCCACACCATCCCGTTTCTCTCTTTGCCTCTCCAGAGCACTATGTTAAGTGTGCTTGTGATAGAACTGTACTCCAGCTGTTGTTGGCACTGGAGATAGAGAAATGAATAATTTAAGGATCTGCTCTCAAGGAACTCCTAATCTCTGTGTCTTTGCTATGACCGAGTTTCCCCTCATGAGTCATATATAAGAAAATAATTTCTGGGGCTAGACAGATGGCTCAGTGGTTAAGAGTACATACTGCAGGGCTGGAGAGATGGCTCAGCGGTTAAGAGCACTGACGGCTCTTGCAGAGGACCCGGGTTCGATTCCCAGCACCTACATTGTGGCTACAAACTAACTCCAGTTCCAGGGGAATGTGAAACCCTCTTCTGACCTCCACGGCATGGCACAACACGGATGCACTCACATACATGTAGTCAGTACACGCAAACATAAAATAAAAATAAAATTTAAAAAAAAAAGTACATACTGCTGTTCTAGAGGACCTGAGTTCGATTCCCAGCACTCCTATCAGGCAGCTCACAGCACCCTGTAAGTCTAGCACTGCATTTATGTGTACAAACCTGTGCATATGCACATAATTTTAAAGTAATAATAGTAATAAATTTCTGAGTCAGGTGTGGTGGTACACAGCTGTAAGCCCAGCCCTCGGGAAGTTTAGGCGGGAGGATTGTGCTTTCAAGACCTGCCTGGGCTACACTGTAAGATCCTGTCTCAGAAAACAGGAAAAAAGAGAAAGAGATGGGATAGTTTATGTAGCGTAGGACAGAAGTGTTAAATATTTTTAAATTAGCAGAAAATATGACATGCAAATATACTTCTAGACTTTATTGGTTTTACCTATAATTTGTCAGTTCAGGAACTTCTGTGCCTTTACACAGCTATGTTGTCTGCTAAGCATAACAGAAAGGTAAATTGTGTTTGTGTTTGCTCTGTCAGTCCTGAGGCTAATTGTTCATTATGTGTTTGGACATAAAATCCTTTGGTTTTAAGTTAACTGTAGACTGAGAACCAGGACACTATTTGCTTACAGTTCTCACTTTCCCACAGTAGTCCTGCAGTGCTCGGCGTGGCTTACTGTCTGCTGCCTGTTTCCTTATTTTAATAGAGTAACACACCTGTGACTCACAAACCAGTAATAGCCATTATGACTTGTAGAATTTGAGTATATGCCCAGTTAAATCTTCTTTTTAACCAGCTAATTGTTTTGTACCAAATTGCTAAAGAATATTTATTAGGTGCGAATGGCACTTGTAATCCTAGCACTCAGAAGACTGAAGCAGGAAGAGCCAAAGATCTAGGCCAGTCTGAGTTACATAACAGGTACAGCGCTAACCTAGGCTACCTGGTGAGATTTGTCAAGGGGGGAAAAGGCGTATTGTGAAAGTGATTTTATGAGAAAATTTTTGAGCTGCCTTGTTTTCTTCATATCTTTCCATGGTTAACGGCAAGTGAACTCAGCTTTCTTGAGGCTGTTTCCTTAGCTCGAAAATGTAAGTAATAGTGCTCTTTTTGAGAAGGGCAAATGGAACTTGCAGTGGATGGCAGATTTTATAAATTGCCGTTGAAATTCTGATGCTGGGCATGGTGGTGCACATCTGTAATCCCAGTGCTTAGGAGGGGGCTGCAGGAAGATGGAGTAAAAGGCCAGCCTGGTCTACACAAGACCTGCCTTAAAAAGCAACAAACTGGTTGTGTGGTAACTAGTTTATAATCCTTTCGAAGTTAGGAGGTAGGAGTGGGTTCCACTTCTTAGTTCTTTTTCATTTGCTTCTGAATCATTTTGTTGTAGGACTGAAATGTAGCAGCTGTGAACCTTTTCCAGCTGGAGCCACAAACAACCTTTCTAGGTCCAATTCAGACGAGAGTAATTTCTCTGACAAACGGAGAGCATCCACCGCCATGTACCATCCAGAGGGAGAATCCAGCACCGCTCCCTTCTTTTCTACTACTGATGCATCTCTGAATTTGCCTGTCCTGGAAGTGGGCAGGACTGAGAACAGCAGCTTCTCTTCAACCACGCTTCCCCGCCCTGGGGACCCTGGTGCCCCTCCCTTGCCACCTGAGCTGCAGCTGGAAGAAGGAGGAACTTGTGCAAGCTCCAGTGAGATGTTCCTTCCGCTGAGGTCTCGGGCTCTTTCACGCCAGTGACACCTTCCTGCCTTCCTTTAAATAGTGACAAAAAGTGTTTTAAAGGATACAATCTTTTTATAAAATCATTGTAACAATTTACTTACCTGTCTTTTAAAACACAGTGTATACTCTCTTTGTAAATAGGATTTTTAAAATAAAAGCAGCATACCTATATGGCAGCTGAGTGTAAATCGTGTTGGGATATACTTTCCAATATTTTTTACTTTTTTAGGTGTTTTAATAGTTTCAATTTTTTTTTTATGTTGTAAGACTTAATTTTTACAGGGAACATTTCTCAATTTGGGAATCAACTCGGGCTGAGAATAGTGCTTCTTAGTGCATTTGTACTAGAAATTTTCAGTCTCAGGTTTTTTTTCCAATCATTTAGCAGTAAATTTTTAGCAATAAGCTGTTTTTGTTTGTCATAAAGCCAGCCACTGTGGGAAAGCTGCCAGGGTACCAGGAGGGTCTCCCCCTCGGTCGTCCTGAGAAGTCTAGCATGCTGGTGGCATGTGAGCCACTTGTGACCTGTGCCAAGATTCCTCTCTCCTAATCTCTCCACTTGATATGGCTTCCTTTGGATTTTTCAGTCTTGGCTTCATAATTTTTGTTCCTAAAGATGATACTGATATGAACTTCAGCTATTGGATTGATGGGATTTTTAAAAATTACTTTTGCCTGTTATGGAGGTGCACACCTTTAGTCCCAACACTACGGGGGCGGGGGGAGCAGAGGCAAGCAGATCTACATAGCAAGTCTAGACAACCAGAGCTACAGAGTGAGACCCTGTCTCAAAAAACATCTTTCTCTGAACTTTTCATTCTCCTAATGAGTACTGCTATATGGGTGAAATGACTAGAATAATTGATTTTGGAATGTGTGTAGTTCTGTTTTTAATATTTGAAACAATCAAGCCATTAGCAACACCTGTCATTTCATTATATTACAAAGCTTGACTAACTTTACACATTTAAAAGAACTGTTTTTATTTAAATTATAATTTTACCTGTTCCTGACATCCGCCTCCTAGATATTTCTGTTATTTAAAAAACAGGAAATGAAAATTTGGTATTAACAATAAAGGGTTTTTTTTTAATGTAGTACTATGTTTTAGAATCAAAAACACAAAATGTCTAATTTTCAAATGTCTAAGCCTTTTGTATTTATACTAGTTTTTAAATAGAAAACATTATTCCAAGCCAGATGTGGAGGCACATGCCTATAATTCTACCATTTAGGATCAGGAAGCAAGACAATCATGAGTTTGAGACCATCCTGGGTGAGTTCTAGTCCTGCCTGAGCTACATAGTGGAGACTGTCTGGAAAGGGGCAAGGGGTGGAGTAGGGAGAAGGAAGGAGAGAAGAGGGAGTTTAAATGAGAACATGGCTTGACATGGGATGTAATACATTACTAAGTTAACTAATACAGTAACAAAAAAGTTACTTTTCAGGAATACCAGATTAACACAGTACAAAAATAAAAAATTTGCTCTCATTTTTTTTTTATTGCCTTTGAAAACAATAGTTTTTGGTAGAGTCGTAGGTTTAACAGAAAAGTTGAACAAAAGTAGTTTTAAAATACTTCTGAATCCTCCTGGTTTCCCATACCTTTTTTTTTTTTTAATTTTCATTGAATTTTTGTGTATTTCATACATAAAATGTTTATACTCCTTTCCTCCTTCCCCTGTGGCACCCTCCCATAGCCCCCTCCCCCCACTGGAGTTCATACATTCTGTCATTTGTATTAAGGCCTATTTTGTAAAGTTAGTGTCCTGAGATGTCCCTTAGTGCAAGTTCATCCACTGGGGTTTAGTCAGCCTATCTAGAGTTTCTCTCTTCAAGAATATCAGCTCTTCCTCACCCAGCAGTAATCAATTGCCAATAATTCTTCCACTCATACTAACTTCTTATATTGCCATGGTAACTTGTTACCATTGAGGGCCAATATTGATGCATCATCTTAATACATTATTATTAACCAAAGTCGTATTGGAGTCTGTATTAGTCACTTTTCTGTCGCTGTGATAGAAACACTGACCAAAGCTATTTACAGAAAGAAGAGTTTATTTGAGCTTAGGGTTCCAAGGGAATTACAGTCCATCATGGCAGGGAGGCATGGTGGCTGGAGGTGGCTGGAGCAGGAGCAGCAGAAGCTAAGTTCTCACATCATCACGCAGGCACAGGAAGCAAGAGAGCATCTGGAGATTTGGTAAGACTTAAGAATTCTCTAAGCCCACCCCCAGTGATGTGCTTCCTCCAAGATAGCCACACTTAAAACCTGCCAAAACAGTTCCATCATCTGGGGACAAAATGTCCAAATACTTGGAACCTATGGGGGACATTTTCATTCAAACCATCACAGAGTCCCTCTTTGTTGTAGAGCTCTGGGTTTTTAGGAATGTGTAATATCTACCATTAAGTATCACAGAATAGCTTCTCTGCTTTAAAGAACATTCCTGTGACCTCCATTCATCCTGCCTTTCATCCCAACCATGGCCAACACTGATCTTGTCATCTCTGTAGGGATCATCACAGTGTTGAATCGTACAATGTGGAGTCTCCTCGGCCTGGCTTCTTTCAGTGTGGATCCTCAGCCTGGCATCTTTGAGTAGCATTATTCCCTTAAAGTTCCTCAGGTCCTTTATGATGTGTTCACCTGCCTAGACACACCTCACCTTTGTACAGGGTCAAACAAGCTAGGATAATGGCAGTTTATAAAGTTTCTAATCTATTTTGATGTTTACATTTTGTGTTTTACTTGTTTTGATAAACAACTTTGTCTATGTGTGAGCATGGGGGGAGGGTGCCTGTGTGTAGGCCAGAGGTCTAGCTCTGTTGTCTTCCTCAGATAGGCCAGAATGGCTGGCTGAGCTCTTGGGGTCCTCCTGTTCCCTCTTCTGTCCAGCCCTAGGCTTACAAGTGCATACCACACCCAGATTTTGTGTGGTGTTTGGGGACTGACTGAGCCATCTTGCCAGCTACTAAATAAACTTTTTTTTGAATTTTTGCAATTTCCATACAATATAATTTGATGACATTTATATCCCCTTTCCCATCCACATCTCCCCACATTACCCCCCCAACTCATTTCAATGTATTCTCTGTATAATTAAAACCTATAGAGTCTAACTTGAATCCCTATATGTTCTCCAGTGTGGGTCTGTCCACCAGAGCTTGCATAGGACTTGTGCATGCTGTCACCGTTGCTGTGAGTTCACATGAGTAACCAACCAGCCGTCTGGAGAACTCTGCCACCCCCAACCCCCACCAGCCATCTGCCTCCTGTGAGCTGGAGCTGTGCTGGAGCTTTGGACTCCCCCACTCCGCAGTGAGCTGGAGCTGAGCTGTGGTCCTCTCCTGTGAGCTGAAGATGTGGTCCTTTCCTGTGAGCTAGAACTGTGGTTCCCTTCCTGTGAGATGTAACTGTGGTACCCCGATAATAATATTGACTCCCAGTCCCAAGAGGGATGATTGGAATGGACTGTGCTGGATCAGGTGTTCACCCACTGCTAAAGATTAATGCATCTTTCACCTCTCACCAAATAAGTTTCCTTATGCAGCAGATGGTGATTGACATGGAAACTTATGGCTTTCTAACATGCTGGGAGGAAGGGGCTGTAGAGTGCTCATCTCGAGCGGAATGTTCATGTCAGGCTTCTGGAGCACAAGGCTCGGGGATCATGGCAGGGGAGGAGGTGGAAAGATTGTAAGAGCCAGAGGTAGTAGATAACTTATTTTTTGAGACACTGTGTACCCTTGGCTGGCCTAGTGTAGACTAGGCCGCCCTCAAACTCAGACATCCTCCTGCTTCTGCTTCCTAAGTGCTGTGATTACAGGTGTGTGCCACCACATTTCAGCATAAACAAATTTTTTAGGAGACTGATGTGCTACCTACATGCTAAGGAGGAGGATCTGATAAACAGCTTTTTAAGTCCGTGTTTTTTTATGCCAGTGATTTTTTTTTTAATCTCCTTTTAAGAGATTTTTTTCCCATCTTATTAGCATGATGCTGTTTTATATTTTCTGGAAGTTCACTTGTTTTACTTGCCCATTCAGCTGATCCTGAACTAGCCTCAAACCCAACTTAATCTGTGACCAAATATGACCTCTACCTCAGTGTTGGGATTTCATGCATGCATCACTAGTCCCAGTTTATGTGTTGCTCTGCAGGCATTCTGCCAGCTGAGCTACACCCCCCCAGCCCCATATCCTTTCCAGTTTCATTCTTAGAAACTGTTGAAATTTATTTGTTAATTATTAAATGTTAAGAAAAATGGATAGTTGGGGTTGGAGAGATGGCTCAGCAATTAAGAATACTTGCTGCTCTTCTGGAGGACTAGAACATGGTTCCCAGCACCCACATCAGCCACCTGTAACTCCAGCTCTAGGGGATCTGACACCCTTTTCTGGCCTCTGTGGGCACCTGCACACATATGCACAGACAAATAAAAATCTTGAACAACATTTCATAATAAAAGACTACTACATCCATGCAAAAGAAGAGGGTTGTAAAGGTAAAATTGATCATTGTTTGAATTTGAGAGTATTTTAAACTTGGAATGGCAAGGCTTGCTAGCTTTTGTGCTGAGTACCTGATTTAATAGTACTATGTTTTAAAGAGATGGAGAAGATGGTGGGAGATAAGGAAAAGTAAGATTAAGGAATGAAATGTCCCATTTCAGACACATTTTTTCATTTATCCATTGTTGACATTCCATCCCAAAGCTTAGCTTCCCTTAAATTATTTCTGTTGTTTCTGATTCCTAGCTTGTCCTTCAGATGGTCAGCCCTACCTGTCTGTCCATTTCTCTTCACTGTCACTAAGAGAAGTGACTCATGGGAGGACAGATTTCCTCCAGCTCATGGTTGCAAAGGACAGCTGGAGCCTCAGAATGTGCAGCTCTTCTGGACTCTGCTCCGAGCCTGCCTTTCCTTAGCTGATTTTTTTTTTCCTGTGTTCTCTTTTGAGACAGGGTCTTCCTATGTAGCTGGTGGTGGCCTGGAATTCACTGTGTACATCAGGCTGGCCTCATACTCTCAGAGATCTGCCTGCCTCTGTAACCCCAGTGCTGAGATTAAAAGCATGCCTTTTCTGTATTCTGTATTTTTTATTGCTGTAGTAAACTACAACCATGAATTTAACAGCTTTCTATGAGTTCTGTAAGTTTATCACATCATCAAACCTGAGGGTAACTGAAGAGCCCCTGAACTTGCTGTTGGTGTAAGAATGGTTTGGGCAACTCCCAAACTTTGTACTTGGGGAGCATTTTTCATCTCTGTCAATCTGCATACTTGGATAGAAAGTTTTAGAAATACCTAAACCTGTTTCCTTATGAATTTTTATAATCCAACAGTATTCACTGATCTACTCTATGGACAGGCATCAAAATGCACACTGGGCATAAAAACACAAACAAAGCATAGTCTAACTCCTTCCATCATGAAGCTCATAACACTGTCCTATAGAACTTGAGAGGATATGAACTAGATGGAAAGGGAAGTTAAAAATGAATGAACAGGCTTGGCATGGTGGCGCACAACTTTAATCCCAAGACTCAGGAGGCAGAGGCAGGTAGAGGCCTGCCTGTGAGTTGGAGGTCTACATAGCAAGTTCCAGGTCAGCTGGGGCTACAGGGAGACCCTGTCTCAAAAAGACAAAAAAAAAAAAAAAGAATGAACAGGGAACAGGATCCTTAACTGATGTCTAAATAGTTACACTGATACCAACTTCATTTGGATGTCATTCTTACATTTCACCAGATAGAAGCCAAGATTTCGTTTCCCTGGTGATAGGTCACATGACTGGTCACTTGCTAAGAGAGGAAACACAAATACAGAGTCCAGTTGTATGGAAAGATAAGGTGCTGTTCCATTCAGTGAAATACTAAGGCCCCAGCAAGAAGTCCCTGTGGAAAGTTGAAAAAGCCCGTGGAGATTTTGCAGGGAAAGATTGAAGTTAATGCCAAGGAAAGAGATGGGCCGGCATGCAACTTTGTAAAACCCTTATAAAACGTTACTGTTGCTGACAGACATGTTGGGAAGCCCCAACCTCTAAGGCATAAAAGCAGGCATAAAAGGCTGAAAATGAGAAGCTGGCAGGTTTGGAGGACGCTGGAGGGGTGAGATGTGATCCAAGAGGAGTTTCATCAGAGAAAGTTCAGAGTGCCCTTGAATAAGGTCAGACAGGAAAAGATTCTGTTTTTGCAGGGGGTAGAAGATGGGGGGTGGAGGGCACCTCCCTAAGAGGTCCTAATTTTAACAGCAATGAGCAAAGTACACCGAAACAGTTGGAGGCATTGGAACAGTTGGAGGCATTGAAATCCTCTGGGCAGGTAACCCCTGCCGTGGAGTGACAGCGGAAAAAAAAAACAATTTAATTTTAGAGACTGGGTCTGTGTAGCCCAGGCTGGCCTGGAGCTCACTATGCAGAAGACACTCGAATTTGTGATTATCCTCCTGCGTTAGTTTCCCACGTGCCGGAGGCCTGCGTTCCCACACCCTGCTTTCTGTTTGGAAATAATTGTCGCCTGCATAGCGCTAGCTGGACCCCCTCGTGTATACTCGCTGATCTCAGATTGGAAGCAGTTCGGCCTCGGACTGGGATTGCAGGCGTGCACCACCACGCCTGGGTTTTATGCCTTAATTAAAAGCTGAGAATTTGGCTGTGTCCACTAGTGTAGCAACTAGTGCTTCCGCTTCCAAGGATTAGCAAAAGAAACTTCTTCCTGGGAATTTTCCCGCCCTGCTTCCACCCGTTTTACCTCTTTCCCGCCGCCAAGGAGTAGGAGCGCAGCGCCGCCTCTAAGGGGCGCAGGCGGATCATCTGCGGGTCTAGGGGCGGGGCCCGCCGCCGCTTCCGGCTTCCGGTCGAGTGGAGTAGTGGCCCGCAGTCGTCATGGCAGCTGAGGAGAAGGACCCATTGAGCTACTTCGCGGCCTACGGGAGCAGTAGCTCCGACTCGTCGGGCGAGGACGAGGGCAGCGAGCCGGAGGAGGCGCGGCGCCCGTCCGCGGCCCCGGCGCCGTCAGCGGGCGGCCTCGGGAAGCCGGCGGAGAAGCGGCTGCCCGGCCCGGACGAGCTGTTCCGGAGCGTGACGCGCCCTGCCTTCCTTTACAACCCGCTCAACAAGCAGATCGACTGGGAGAGGCACGTGGTGAAGGCGCCCGAGGAGGTGAGGCCCCCGACCCCGGGGCCCGGCGTCCGCCCCCCAAGCGCACGCACTCCCGCGGGATGCCGCGTGTCCCCCGCCCCGGGAGCCCGGCCGGTCCCCAGCCCGGGGTTAAGCCCAGCCCTGCCCCTCCGCGATCGGGGCCCCCAGCCCGGGCAACGACTAACGGTGGTGACTCCCCGCCCCCTGCTGCAGCTTCTCCCCGACACCCCTTCCCTTTGACGCCGAAGTGCCTGCGGTGCTGCCTCCAAGACAGTGTCTGCTGCAGCCTCCTGAAGGGGTCAGCCTTGCCGTAGTATCTGAGACTGGATTCTTCTTTGGTAACTAAAAGTTATTAGCTTTATTTACATAGGGAGCCCTTTGACTTTTAACATTGTTGTGCTGTTGATGGAAAAAAAAATGTGTCTTTAAGCCTAAAGGGTTTTAAAAAGTCAGCCAGAAAGATGAGCGAACGGCAGGGAGGTGCATGTTCTCATGTCCATGTCGGCCGGAGCCTCGGTTCGTCACAGGGCTTCTCCATGTGCTTACTTAACAGCCTCCAAAGGAATTCAAAATCTGGAAGTCAAACTACGTACCACCTCCAGAGAGCTACACTACCGAGAAGAAACCGCCGCCTCCGGAGCTGGACATGGCAATAAAATGGTCCAACATATATGAGGACAATGGTGATGATGCCCCACAGAACGCTAAGAAAGCCAGGCTTCTACCGGAAGGGGAGGAGACGGTGGAATCAGGTAGGAAGGGTAGTATTATTTTTAGGCCTTCCTGATTCTCAAAAAGGAGAAAATAGTCAATGAACAAAATAGATGTGTGAATTGGCAGGTTAGATTAGATGGTCTTTGGAGACTGGAGACCCTGCTTTGTTTGGGGTTGGGGGGCGGGTCTTTTTGAGACAGAGCCTCCCTGTAGTCACAGCTGACTTGGAGCTTGCTATGTAAGACCAGGTTGGCCTTAACTCAGAAATCCACCTGCCTCTGCCTCCCAAGTGAGGGGATTAAAGGCCTTCACCACCACACCCAGCCAGATTTCACAATTTCATGCATATAATGTACTTTGATCATATCTGACCCCATTATATTTTCTTCTACTGAACCCCTTCTTCTGAATAAGCCCTTCTTACTGTGCTGTCTCAGGTGTCCCACTGCATTAAGTTAGCATTGCTTGTATGTCTGCTCCACGTTGAGAAGGATCATGTTGTGCCTTCACTGAAGTCTCAGGTCTCGGGTGTAAGGATGTGATTTATGATGCTTTCTTAGAACAAGAATTCATGAATTCTTGTGACTGCAGCTGTGAAGTGCTGAGGGCTTTGTTTTATACTAAAGCAGGTGTACTTTAGAACTATAATTAGAGTGACAAAATGAAGCCAGCTGAGCCCACTGCGTGGGAACACGGATGTAATGGTTCGATGTTCTTGCCTTTGTTCATAATCTCATAATTTTATCTCTCATTTGAACCACCACAGTAATCTCTACCTGTTAACTCTTAACCCCATCTCTCCATTGTCTCACACTGCAGCTACTGGTGAGTTTTTCAAATTCATATCTGATTGCATAGCTTGCTTCCCCAAAACCTTCACAAGTAGAATAGAACTTGGCATCTTCTGTGATGGGCCCTGTTTCTCTCACCACCATCATAAGGGCCGTTTCTAGCTTTTTTCTTGAAATTCAGAGCTAAGTAAACCATGATATTTTATGGTTCCCTGCCTTTTAATGTATATTGCACCCTAGTCTGGGATGTACTTTCTTCCATCTTTGTCTGATAAATTCATTTATCTTTCAAAATCCTACTCAAAGAAGACCAGGTGTGGTGGCACAGGCCTTTAATCCTGGCACCAGCACTTGGGGCAGAAGCGGGTGGATCTCTGAGAGTGAGATCAGGCTGGTCTACATAGCAAGTTCTAGGACAACCAGGGCTACATCGTGACAAAAACTAACTTGAAAACAATTTCTAGGACAATTGCCAATTAGAAATTTAGTATGTACTAATGTTTCTGATTGGACTTACTGTGTATACGTGGTAGTTTTTTCATAAGGCTTTCTGCTTTATGAAAACGAGTTCATCAAGCAACAAGATCCTGCTGTATTGTAATGTACTAGTACTTTGTAAGTATTGAGTGGGCAACTGTTAAATTGAGCTCAGTATTTTGGACTGTCACTTTAAAAATTATTTGCCTTTTTGGTTAAACAAATTTCTGATCAAGGGCCAGGTGTATTGGCCCATGCCTTTAATCTTAGCACTAATGAGGCAGAAGCAGGAGGATCTCTGAGATCCTGCCTGGCCTACATAGCAAGTTCCAGACCATCTGGGGCTACAGGGAGACCCTGTCTCTAAAAAAATACAAAGGCCATTAGCCTCCTCCCCCCCAAGAAAGATTTTAAGAGAAGGGGGTGAGGTGGTATGGCACCTGCCATTATTTCCAGTACTCAGGAAGCAGAGGTAGGTGGATCTCTGTGAGATTGAAGCCAGCCTGGTCTACATACTGAGTTCCAGGCCAGTAAACCCTGTCTCAAAAAGACCAAGGGGTCGGGGGGGGGGGGCCTCTTGGTTGGAGTTTTCTTCCACATTTGATTCTATTTAGCTTTTCTTTTTTCTTTTTTTAATTTCCTAACATGTATTATAAATCAGTCTTCTTGGAGATACCGCCCCCCCCCAAGACAGAATCCTATTTGGCTAAAGATGACCTTGAACTTCCAATTCGTCCAGTCTTCATCCTAGAGCTGGTATTATAGGCATGTGCCACTATAATTTCTTTGAAAATCTTAAATGAAGGGGTCATTTTAACATCTCCTATTGTACAGTGCTTTAATTAAAAATACTTGTGAATAAATCATCTGTAGCCCTTACAGAGCCTTACCAAAGTGCAGTACAAAAATGTAGAGGTGAGAGTTTATATGACTTGTCCTAGGTCATAAAACTAGAAAACGCTACACAGTAAGCACTTTCATACAGGTTTCTAATTTATTACTAGCAATGCAATACAGCAGTGACTCAATTCATGGTTACTGTCCTTGCAGATGAGAAAATAGTCCTACATGAAAGAATTCATCTCAAGTCACAATTAAGAACTGACAGAATAGGACTTCAGGTTCAACTCTTTAAATAGAATGTGTGCCTCATTAAGCTGGGTTTGGTGTCTTCATATTTTCCAAGCCACACTGTTAGAGAAGTAACCACCCTTCTCTGAGCACTGGAACTAAATGATCTAGATTGCCGTAGTCTAGTGCCCTTGTATCTTTATCCCTTTTGATGAAGGTCAGAGTTACATGCCAGGCAAACAAGCAAGAATGGTCTTTTTTTCTAGCTTTATAGTTCAATTACAAGGGACAAATAGCACATAGGTGATTTCCTGTCCTTTTGATCTCACAATGGCCTTCGGTAAGAAAGTGAATGCCAGCAATGGCAAAAGGCAGGGAAACCCAAGACTGATCTGGCTTAAAGCTGGAGCATATGATTAAAAGGTACTTCTGGGGCTGGAGAGAGGACTCATCGGTTAAGAACACTGATTGTTCTTGCAGAAGACTCGGGTTCGAATCCCAGCACCCACATGGCAGCTAACAATTGTCTATAACTCCAGTTCCAGAGGATCCAATGGCCTCTTCTATCCTTCTCGGGCATTGCATGGTACGGATGCACTTACCTACACACAGGCAATACATTCATATACATAAAATTTTAAGAAATAAAATATTTTTTAAATAAATAAAAGGTAATTCTGGGCCTAGGGAGATAGCTCAGTTGGGAAAATGCTTCCCTCCCAAGCATGAGGACCTCATATGTATGCTGGATATAGTGACCTCTTCCTTGTTTCACAGGAAGTTTAGGGCATCCTGTGACCTCCACACACATGACAAATAATTTTGGCTTAGTATTGGCTACTGAATATAAATCTTTGTAATAAGTAAATAGCTTCCCTCTCTTTTGTTTTTGATATTGGGTCTCAAACTTGCTATGTAGCCTGATGACCTTGAACTTGTAGTCCTCCTCCCAGGTGCTGAGATTAAAAGCTTGTGCCACCATAAGCCACCATACCTGTTCTGTAGTACTGTGGTTCAAGCCTGGGACTTCACATGTACTAGGTGAACATTCTACCAACTGAGCCCAATCTCTAGCCAACAATTTCATTTTGAAATTTACCATTGTGTACCATGTTTGCAGTCACTAAATAGGAATTGGCCTGGGACTTTTTCATGGCAGGAATGGAGGCAGCATATGTGCCACATCCTACATGTGGGGGTCAGGACAATCTCTAGGGTGTCCTCACCTTCCACCTTGTTTGAGATAGGTCTGTTGTTCTCTGCTGCATACACCAGGCCAGCTGGCCTTGAGCTCCTAGGAGTTCCTCTCCACCTCCCATCCTGGCATAGGAGCACTGGGCTTACAGGCCTGAGATACCACATCTGGCTTTTTACATAGGCTCTGGGGATTTGAACTCAGGTCCTCACGCTTGCATAGCACATGCTTTTCCCACTGAACCATCTCCTCAGCCGGACAACATTTTTTTTAACTTATTGGTTGTAATTAATAAAACATGTATCAGAAATTTTACCCACTTATATTACATTTTAGATTAATCAAGTTAGCCTTGTTTTTATTTTGCCTTTCCATGTTCTGTCCTTTGGTCTTTTTTGTCTGTTATTTCTTTCAGAATTTAGAGGAGCTGGGAAAGGATAAATCCACTCTGGTCTCTTGCTGTTTATTGGTGTTTCTTGTTTAGTGACTGTGAAATGTAGATGAGTAAAACTCGGATATTTATAGCTTTATTAACAAACAGCTAATATTGCTAATGATTTTTATTTTACTTTTTTAATTTAGAAAATACACAAAGATAAGTCAATGTGGTTTACTCTGGGTGATTCGAGTTTCATAATAGAAATTTTGTTTCTACACCAGTGTGTGCGTACTGTGTACACAGTAAAAATAGTAAAAGAAAAAAAAATGCTGGCTATAAAGCCGATGAGCATTTTTATATTTATTTTTCCTGCACTAGCTTTTTTTATTTTTATTTTTTTAACTTTTTATTTTATGTGTATGAGTGTATTTCCTACATATATTTAAGTATATCATGTTGTGCAATGCCAGCAGAAGTCAGACAAGGGTGTCAGATCCTGGAACTGGAGTTACAGGTTGTTAGCCACCATATATGTGCTGGGATTCAAACCTGGGTCTTCTGCAAGAGCAGCAAGTGCTCTTTACCACTGAGCCATCTCTCCACCCCCTGCATTAGCTTTTAAGATAATACCTTTCCATGTTAATAGAGGACATTTTCAACCTCAGTCATTTGTAGTTTCATGGTAGTCAGTAGATTGTAATGAATGAAACATGTATCAGAAATGTATTGTGTGTAATAAGTGACAGCTTTCAATTTTTATGTTACTGTTCCTTAAAATAGTTTCAAGGTATACTTAGTGGTAATTAAATCTAGCTAAAAACAAAAGACTCAGTGTGGCTGTGGTGGCTTCACGCCTATAATCCCTACGCTGGGGGTGGGGGTTGCACTTGAACCAGTCCCTTGATACTAAGTGTCCACATCAACAAGGTGAGATCATCAGAATGTGATATCCTTGGCAAAAAGAAAGGCTTAAGATTTTAAATAAATTTACTTCAAATACTTTATAATTTGATGTCAGCAATTTCCATAATTTTTTCATGTGAAGGCATCTTTTAACATGAAAATATTTTATTTATCACTATACGGTACCTGTTAGATGTCTATCTTCCTTTTTTAATATTTTTTGCTTTATTTGTATTTTATGTGTGTGCATTATGTTGCATGTATACAAGTGTACCTGTGCCATGCAGTGCCTGAAGAGGACAGAAGAGGGCGTCAGATTCCCTGGAACTGGAGTTATGGGCAGTTGTTAGCCACCATGTGGGCACTAGGACTCAAACCCAGGTCCTCTGCAAGAACGGCTCTTAGTCACTGAACCATCTCTCCAGCCTTCTGTCTAGCTTCTTGATAAAGAAAAATATAGTTAAGCCAGTCCTGGTGCTCATGATTGTCATCCTAGTACCTAGGAGGGTTGAGGCAGGAGAATTAGGAGTTCAGGTCAGTCTAGGCTGCATAGGGGAATGGAAAAAGGGAAGGGAAATAAAATTAAGGCTGAAGGTATTAGTAGGTGGTTGTCTAGAATTCATAAGGCTGTGAATTTGTCCCTAGTACCATGGAATTGGGGAGGTCAGAAGCTATGCTTATTCTGTGGATGTGGAATTCCTTTGTGATAGGGCAGGGAGTTGGTTGAGACAGTTTTGTTGTGTATAGCTGACTGGCCAATACTTACTGTGTAGCCCAGGCTGACCTCAAACTCACAACAGTCCTATCTCAGCTTCCTGAGTGCTGGACTTGGAGGCATGCACCACCATACTTGGCTGAAATTCTTGATAGTACACATTTAGGGAGATATGAATTAGCAACTAGTCTCCTATTCTGTGCTTTATTGAATCCCTTAATTGGGTTTTTAAAAATAGAATACAAAGGTCTACTTTTTCAAGTTTAAAATTTTCATTAATTAGAAATTTTCTGTGGCTACACACACTAGTAACAGTTCGGAAGAAAATAAAGATGCTATTTTAAAATACTTTCATTTTTATGTGTATGAGTGTATTGCCTACACGTGCGTAAGTGCACCTGTGTCATGCAAATCTGGTGGAAGTCAGAAGAGGATGTTGGATCCCCTGGAATTGGAGTTATGACAGTTGTTAGCCACCGAGTGGGTTGTGGAGACCAAACCAAGGTCCTCTGCAAGAGCAGCCAGTGCTCTTAACTACTGAGCCATCTCTCCAGCCCCAAAATGCTGTTATATGTGTGGTTCTTCTGTAGTCTTCCTCCATTCCATTTTCCTATAACGTGAAGGGGACACACTTCTGATTATGCAAAGCAGTTTATGAAGTCCAGAACTTCTGCTTGTGCTTTTTAACCTCAGATCCTAAGGATTTGGTGGGTTGAGACAGATTGGGGGAGAGAGGTTGGTTTGGAAGGAGAAAAATGAGAAGCAAAGGGCAGCTAATAGCCACTTAAATAGCACTGTGGGTAGAGTCAGAGCTGGGTTTTGTAAGAAAACAGAATGCCCATTTCTGTACAGTGCAGAGTATATTCAAATGCATGTAGCATGCACACTGAAGAGTTGGAGTAGCTGTTTCAGAACAGAGCTGATTTTTGTAGAAATAAAGTGACTTATTTTAAGCCACATTAATGTGTCCCTACAGAGTCAGTTTGCAAATTTTGTATTGCTGCCATTGGGGAAAAAAAATTGCTGTTTTCATATGCAGTTTAATTATCAGGCTTCTAAAAATTAATCTTTAGTTCTTACTGACAAAAGCTTTGAAAGAAACAATTGGTGAGAGTAATTATCTTGGCATAAAGCTAATAAAATGTTAGTGTTTTCCATGTTTGTTTTTTTTTAATTACTGATTGAAACTTTTTTTTTTCTGTTTAAAGATGATGAAAAAGATGAACATGCATCTAAAAAGCGCAGAGTTGAGCCAGGAGAACCAGCCAAGAAGAAAAAGTAGACAGTAGACGGCAAGCATTTCTGGACTGCTAAACTTGTTGAAATGTGTTATTGGTCGGAGTATTTGATTTTGTGGATTATTATGACAAATATATCCATGGAAGTATCTGTGTTAACAAACTAATAAGTATTGCCTCAAGACTTTCCTCTGTAGAATTCATTTTCTTATTTAAAGCCTTGTATGTATTTAAGACTCAAATGGTGACCTGTGATTGTTTAACTGACAGTACTTGGAAGCATTCTTGCTATCATAATTGGTGACAGGCTTTGAGAGTTTTGTCACATATTGACATACCTATGTTCTACAAACCTTTTATAAAGGAGTATATTTTTAAAGTAAATATATTGTAATGTACTGTGAACTTGTCGGTGCTTTTCATCAGTGTTTGTACAGTGTAAATAGATGATGATCATGGAAATAAAATTACTTATTCAATACTATTATCGCTGTACACATGGATATGTGTATCTGTGACAAGCACCCTGCTTGTGTGCCAGTAAGTAGGGACTTTGGCAGCACCGCCTGTGTCCAGGTGCCTTGCACATATATTGTCTTCCTTGAACAGTCTTAAAAGGTAGATGTCAGTGCCCTCATTTTTATAATAATGAAAGCCTGAGACATTTGTCCAAGGCTACACAGCCAGTGAGGTTTCTACCACAACTCAGGACACTGACTTCAAAATAAAATTAAAGCACTTGTCCACTCTTCTGGCCTAGGTTACTTTTCAGGAATTGTGTGGTCATCTCTTCCTTTGACTCTGTTGTAGTTAGAGGAGGTCTTTTCCTCCTGTGATTATGTGACTGCACTTACCATATATTCCTTATGAGTATTTATTAATTTCCTTATTAAACGTACTGAAGATAAGACTTCTATGACAGTCGCCAAAATTTAACATAGAAAAATACAGGGTGCTCAAGTTAATTTGAGTCAGTGTTGTAGTATATGTAATTGTGAGGCATACATTTAAAAACCCCATCTAAAATGTCAAATTAAAAAAAAAAATGTCAAATTTAACTGAGCATCTTGTTTATTTTGCAGTGCCGGGAATGAAACCCAGAGCCTTGCCCATGCTAGGCAAATACTGTAATACTGAACTACAGCCCCGTCCCCCAGTGTCTTGTGCTTTCTCTGAGCAGCCCTACCCAGCTCAGCTCTTCTGTTGATGCTTTGCATACAGCAACACTCAGGTGAATGTGGGACAGCTAGAAAATGCAATCTTTGATTTGTTGACTTAAAATCCCTGGCTGCCTCACATTAGGCACTCAGTAAAATGCTAAGTATTGAAAGTAAGTTGAATCCCTTGGGCCTGGCTTAAGAGTAAACTTGTCTTGGTAGAATGCCATTCCCCTTTACCCATGGGCTTGTTTTTTATTATATGGGTCAATTAGTCTTTTTGACAATTTAAATCAGTTTGAGTCAAGCTTTCTGTTATTTTTGGTCAAAACTGATTTTTTTTTTTTAGACAAGGTCTCATTGTGTAGCCCTGGCTGGCCTGGAACTCACTGTATAGACCAGGATGAACTCCAACTAATAGAGCTCTGCCTTGTCTCTGCCTTAAAGGCAAGCACCACCACATCTGGCTTCCTCTTAACTGATTTTTTTTTTTTTTATGTTTTATTTATTATTTTTATTTTATGTGTATGAGTGTATTGCCTGAATGTATGTGAGTGCACCCATGTTGTGCAATGCTTCAGAGGGCAGAAGAGGGCTTCAGATTCCCCTGGAACCACCATATGGTTTTTCTTTAAAAAAAATCAGTTAAGGGGCTGGAGAGATGGCTCAGTGGTTAAGAGCGCTGACTGCTCTTACAGAGGACAGAGGTTCAATTCCCAGCACCCACATGGCAGCTGCAAACCATCCTAAACTCCAGTTCTAGGGGAATCCGAAGCCCTCTTCTGCCCTCTGTGGCATTGCACGACACGGGTGCACTCACGTACATGCAGGCAATATACACATAAAATAAAAATAAATTTTTTTTTAAAAAGAGGCTAGCGAGGTGGCTTAGTGGTTAAGATCACTGGCTGCCCTTGGTGGGGACCCAGGTTCAATTCCCAGTGGCTAACAGCTCCCTAACTCCCGTTTCCAGGGAATCTGATGTCCTCTTCTGGCCTCTGCTGGCACTGCACAACACGGTGGTACACTTTCGTGGCTTACATCTCTACTCTGTCTTCTAAACTTTCTGTGTCAGGTAATCACCATCAGCCCAGAAACCTGTCCTTTGTCTCACCATCACGTAAGTCTGCTCAGTCTTAAACCATTTGCTTGGCCTGGATCTTCTCCAGCTACCTGATGAACTCTTCTCCAAGAAATGTTCCCTCTTATGCTGTTTCCTTTGTCTCTGTACCTGTGCCTCTACATTGCTTTCCTCTAAATAGCAAAATTTATCAAATACCATGTGCTTTACAAAATGTCTGAACCCATTTAACTTTGATGAGGTAGGTGTTATTCCTTACTACTCTTCAAGGGAGAAAACTGGGGTACAGGAAAATCGATTTACTCAAGGGCCAGGAGATGGCTCAGTGGGCAAAGATGTCTGCCACCGTGCCTTACATGAGCTCAATTTCTGAGACCCACATGGTGGAAGGAGAGAACTGACTCCCGCAAGCTGTTCTGAACTACACCCTTGTGCAGTGGCATGTAAATGGACACAGACACATCAAAAAAAAATTTTTTTTTTAATTTAAAAAATAGCCAAGCATAGTGGCAGCACACCTTTCTGGAGGCAGAGGCAGGTGGATCTCTGTGAGTTCAAGGCCAGCCTGGTCTATATAGTGCATTCTAGGCCAGCTGAGGCTACAGGGAGACACTGTCTCAGAAAAAGACCATAAAAAATAATAATGGGCTAGAGATGGCTCATTGGTTAAGAACATGCACTGCTCTTCCAAAGAACCCCTGAGTTCAAGTCCCAGCAACCATGTAAGGTGGCTTCCAACCAACTGCTTGTAACTCCAGCTCCTGGGGGATCTGACACTCTGGCTTCTTCCTGCACTCCCTTGCAGATAGACACAGACACGTATACACACAATCAAAAATAAAAATAAATTAATGGGGTGAGGAAGAGTCATTGTCTTTTGGAGAGGCCACTGGTAAGTTGCCCATGCCCTAGTGGATGGATTACCCCACATCCCTGTGCATATAGGCAGCACTAATTGGGCTTAATGGGCCATTTTAAAAATGGGTGGGGAAGGAGACTGGAGAGATGACTCAGTAGTTAAGGACACTGGCTGCTTTTGCAGAGGACCCTGGGTTCGGTCCCCAGCACCCACATCATGGCTAAAAATCATCAGTAACTCCAGTTCCAGGGTATCTGATACTTTCTGGCCTTGGGCATTGTATGCAGGTGATGCACCTACATGTAGGCAAAACATTCATACACATAAGTTTTTAAAAGGACATAAAGTTGGAATGGAGATATGTTGGAGAAATTCCAGGGGGATCAGAGAAGGAGGAATGATGGATAAGCTCAAGATATATTGTATACATGTGTGAAATTTTCAAAGAATAATTTTTTAAACAATTTAAAAATAAAGAGAAATCTACTCATGGTGATCAGGCTGGGTAACCCCTGCAGCTTGGCTCCAGGGTCAGCGCACTCACTACACTGAGGAATGAACACCAGAATTCATCTGTAATCGGTTTACTTATATTTGGTGCAAAGAATGTCAGCCCTAGGAGGTGTTCAGAATACATATATATAAAGAATTAACAAATCCAAAACCAGGTCACTGACCCCAGGAGTGGTACTGTAGTATTAGTTTAATGTATCAGAAACATCTTTCAGATGCACCAGAACAATTCAAAGTCCCTATTTAAGTGTTTTAGAACGAGTCATCCATATTTCAAAGACTTAGTTTATTACTTATTTGAAAATCTTTTATGTTTTATTATTTTTATTTTATGTGTATGAGTATATTGCCTGCATGCATGTGAGTGCACCTGTGTTGTGCAATGCTGCGGAGGTCAGAAGAGGGCTTCAGATTCCCCTGGAACTGGAGTTAAGGACGGTTTGCAGCCGCCATGTGGGTCCTGGGAATCGAACCCGGGTCCTCTGCAAGAGCAGTCAGTGCTCTTAACCACTGAGCCATCTCTCCAGCCCCTTATTTGAAAATCTTTAAAAGTCTTAAGATATAGCAGTGAATCTGACACTATATCCTACCTCTAAAAATAATTCTCAAAGGTTGGGGATGTAGTTCCATGGTGAGCACTGTTTGGTATAAACAAGATTTACAAGGCCTTGGGTTCAATGCCCAGCACATATGATTGATTGATGATAGGTAGGTAGGTAGGTAGGTAGATATAGATAGATGATAGATAGATGATTCATAGATAGATAAATGATAGATAGATAGATAGATAGATAGATAGATAGATGATAGATTGGATGATAGAAGATAGATTGAGAAGAGAGATGGATGGATAGGCAGATAACGGATAAATCACATAACACATAGCTCCAGCATTTCACGTTTTTGTTTTTTTTTTGTCTGTTTTGAGTAGTGGGGACCAAACATGTGAACGTGGAAGGTAGCAGTGAGCTGTATCACTAGCCCTCACTTTGTTTCTCAAAGTCTGCAGTCTGGGTTGGGCATGGTGGCACACAGCTTGAATTGGGAGACCCTGTCTCAAAAAAAAAACAACAACAAAAAAAAAAGTGCAATCTGCAGACAGCGACAACCTTTTCCTTAAAGACGGTTGGCTTTCCTCTTAGCATTTCAAAGGGCTCGAGCTTAAAATCACAGCACCTAGGCACCAACGTGGAATGGATGAGAACAGCTTTCCGGCAACTAGAATTGTCTTCGGTGTGAGCGTTGCCTCACTTTCTTGGGCACGCAGTCAAGCCCACGAAATGACAGGTATAAGCTAGACTTGGAAAGTCACTTCCTGCGTGTCTGTAAAATTCTGGTACCCTTGGTTGAGAACTCCTCTTTCTTTCCCTGTGTTTGCCATTTTCCGAAAAAGGAAAAGAAACAACAGGATTTGATGCATATTGTTGAAGAAAACAGCTTTCTTCCTGGTATAATTATCTGTCTCTACTTCTAAATGGGGCACAAATCCTAGCAACCCTCTGGCATGCCGGGGAGTTTGCATTCACGTTTTAAATTTAGAACCCCACAGGGAAAGAGCAACGGAATAACCGAACCATCACTTCCAACTAAGGAGTGACTTGACTGCCAACAAGGTATAAGCAAGCCAGCTCGGAAATAACTCCTCAGAGGCTTCCATACTAGGGAGATCTGAAGACCCCATTGCTCTTTGCTAGCTTTCACTTTGGGGATACACACACACACACAAGTGGCTGTCATCAACAGCCAATAGGAACTTCACTCTTATTAACCCCATTCAGCCTTTAGGCTTTCTCTTTCCAATCCTGCCCTAAGTACTCACAGTGGCCCAAGAGCTCTGGCAATAGAATCTGATGCTTATATGTCAAATCTGTAAG